AGGCTAGTTGTCCCAATAATTGTCGTTCCACTACGGACTATGCTATTCTTCTTGGAGGTAATCTTATTTCCTGGACGTCCAAGAAACAACCAACTATCTCTAAGTCTTCCACTGAAGTGGAATATAGGGCAGTAGTCATATTACGTACCTTTCAAGACAAGTTAAAATGTTAGTTTTCACACCAAGGACATTAGAGTTGATGAATGAGAATATTCGTGGTATCATCTAAAAATATCTTGCCAAAAACCATGTATGAGAAATAGGACTTTGTTATGTGTTATGGTCATGTTAACTTCTAAACCATGAAAACAATCTGCTCTTTAACATTACAATCAATTATTATAAACAGCTACTTGTATAGAATCATACGGAGTATATAAATAAACAAAAAGCAAAAAAATTAACATGTAGTACGTATGATTTATGTCAAAGTAATTTTCCTCATAAATTGTATGTTAACCTTTTCACATACAATTTATGAGGAAAATTACTTTGACATATGTGTGGACCATTTTGAGAAATTGGCATGGATATAAAACTCCATTTCAATTTTCACTTTTCACTTCGTGAAAAAATAATCCCAATCTTGTACAACAACATCCAAGTCTTAGTCCCAAACGATATTGGGGTCGGCTAACATGAATCGATACATGATATCACCAAAGGAAAAGGAAAAAAATAAAGATAAAAAAGATAAACTATTATAAAAAAAGATAATATAAAAGAGATGAATATACATATAAAAGATAAAATAAAAAGGATAAAGTAATATTTATATATAAGGATAAAAATTTAAAAGAAAAAGAAAAAAAAAAGAAGAAAAAAAGGGGAAAAGATGATACAAGATCACTCCTCCACACGAATATCTGCCCTCCATTTTGCTCTCTCCAAAGTCATACCCTCATCCAATCCAAGAAGAAGCATATCACTTCTGACTCCCCTAACCCACGTCTGTTTGGGCCTTCCTCTCCCTCTCTTCCCTGCCTCTTCTCCACACATCTCAACTCGTCTGACAGGTGCATCACTCGGTCTTCTATGCACATGACCAAACCACCGTAGGCGCGACTCCCGCATCTTATCTTCAATAGGTGCTACTCCCACCCTTTGTCTGATTGTCTCATTCCTCACGCGGTCCTTTCTAGTATGCCCACACATCCAATGCAGCATGCGCATCTCTGCCACACTCATCTTTTGAATGTGACATTGTTTCACCGCCCAACACTCCGTGCCATACAGTAATGCAGGCCTAATTGCTGTCCTATAAAATGTACCCTTCAGTCTAGTCGGCATACCTCGATCACATAGAAATCCCGACGCACTCTTCCACTTCATCCACCCTGTTCTGATTCTATGGGATACATCTCCATCTAACTCACCGACCTTCTGAATTATGGAGCCCAAGTAACGGAACATATCGCTGACCGGTATCTCCTTACCATCTAAAGTAATTCCGTTATTACCACTGCTTCTACCTCCACCAAACTTGCAATCCATGTACTCTGTCTTGCTCCTACTTAGTCTGAAACCCTTGTTCTCCAATGTTTGTCGCCATACTTCCAACTTTGCTTTAACCCCTGATTGCGTCTCATCAATCAATACAATATCGTCGGCACACATCATGTGTCACGCCCCGGACCTACCCGGACACGTCAACAACCCGCCGTACAATACGAATAGTCAACCGCAGTCCAACACATTCATATTATACAAGGCGTCATGAATATCATTCACACATATAACATCCATAAACAAACATAATAAGTAATTCATAACGCAGCGGAAAACATTGTTTAAAACAAAAGGCCACACCGGGCTATTCATGAGCACGCAGGCTCTATAGTAAAATATCCATGAGCAAATTTATTAATGTTTCAAATAGAATGGAGGAAGCACGAACCAAGTCTTCTCTCCGAGGAATCACTCGATCGACGAGCACAGGATGCAAGCTCTAGCCTCAACCTGAAATGGTGGTGGGACGCCCCCGAAGGGGTCAGTACTCTATACGGCTATAAAGTACTGGTGTGGCAGGCATCTAATAGATATACAACAAGTATTTCAAACACAAGACCCTCAAGTAGGGTGATAGTACATTATGATTGTAACTCTAAGTTACCCCGTTTAAAAATATACTTACTTTATATAAAAGTCAAGTAGTCGGCCCGTGGGCCCGTTTTCATTTGGAAATCACCATTCCCAACCCCGTGGCTTTAAGCCACGACAACTCCTAGAGTCCAACCCTAGTACATGACCTTGTATTCTAGAGCTCGGCTCTACTACATCACCATACAATTCATATACCCCGGGTCAATTTCCTTACCTTGCGTTCTAGAGCTCGGCTCTATTACATCACCACGCAAGTCCTAGAGCTCGGCTCTAGCTATACAATACATAGACTCCAAGTCTACACCTTACATGCATTCTAGAGCTCGGCTCTATTACATCACCATGCATTAAGGTCCAATTCTCAAGCAACCCTATGCCTAGAATTGACATATCATTAAACTACTTTGGGTCATCCTTAAAGACTTCCCATAACTTAACCTTAGTTCCAAACTAAGTTATTATATACACTTGAACTATATTCAAGTACCTTTCATACAATCCAATCCCTAGGATCAATTTAATCAACAAGTTCCAATAATCACTAACTAGTATTTCAATACTATTAAGATTATTGTTATCATACCATTATCCTCATTATTTGTAATTCTCTACATATTTATAATTATGTAGCAGCAACTTAAGTATTCAATCTCAATACACAAATATTCATTTATGTATCCACATAATTCATACATGAGCAAAATGCCCATTTTCACAAAATAGTTCATTTATACTCATTTAATCTCATATTATTCATACCTTCTCAAATCATTTCAAATTTCATTCCTTGGCAACTATATCAATATTTCATCAATATATAATCATCATAATCCATGAAAAATCATGATTTAAGCATTTAGGTAATCTCATGCTTAACCTACAAGTTGTAAGCAATTAGATGTCAATCCTCACCTCAATTGAGCTTTAAACTTTCCCTTCTTGGTCCAATGGTCAAAGCTTTGGTCAAGGTGGATTTGGAACTGATTCCTTGCTCAAATATGAGTGTTAAACAGCCTCCTTAAGTGCTAGTTCAACCCTTAATCGTTGATACGAAAACAGCCCCTAGAACGGGTGTTTTCCGGCTAACTCGATTCCTAGTTTTCCAATATTTGCATCTAGGTTAGTATCTAACCTTTACATCAATAAAATAACTTTATAAGAACATATTATACACTTGGATTAGTGTATAATAGTCTCACCAATCGTTCATATCATTTGGAGAATGAAAAGTAAAGCTTTGGGGTTTAAAACTCACTTTAGAGGATTAGATCCTCTCCTGCGAGGTTGCGTTTTTCTCGGACGATTTGGAAGCCTTCCACAACTCCGATTCCTGCAAACCAGACCTTCACGGATTCCTCGTCTTGAGAGCTTTCTGTGGGTATCTCACACGCCTTAATTGGATTTGTAAAACTCGAGATATCGACCAAACAGTCTCAGCACTCCCACAGCTCGAGTTCACAGACCACTGCTCGTTCCAGATCGATTTTTGGATGATTGCTCTCTCTACTCGAACAAAGGCCACTCAATTATGAAACTACACTTCAAAGGCTATCCAAGGACACCTTATACACCTCATTTGGACGAGTACAACTCTCAAAATGAAGGGAGACAAAACACACCCATGATTTGTGCGGAAATAGACAAGGTGGGTCTCAAGGTTGATTCCAATCAAGTCTTGTGCAGCCCTCCTCCAGCTTGTGCGGCCAAGGTAAGTCTCCTCACTTATTTTTCTTGTTTTGCAGGTACTATAATCATGTGGAGTGGTTCCCAATTGATCCCAATTAATTTGGGGTCCAAATTATCTACCAATACTTCCAAAAATGGGGGAAATGGGTCCTATTGTTTTATCTTTGTCAAAAGATGTCTTTTTGCACTCATCCTAATTTATTTAGAACAAGTCAACTTCCTAAATCACATTATTGATCTCCAATATGTGTAGGATCATCCCAATAATTTACATGATGAAAAATTATAAAAGAATACGGGTTTGAACAATACAATATTCAATCGCGTACTTCGTAAAATATTAATCGTTTCTTCCATTGCTTTGAAATCGAAAATTCAATACATCACTTTTGAATTTTTAAATCGAATTTTCAAGGACGTTCGGGTGCGGTGTCACAAGTTCACCCCCCCTTAACAGGAATTTCGTCCCCGAAATTCACAGCTCTACTCGAATAGGAAAGCATACTGCTTCCTCATCAAAGCCTCCGTTTCCCATGTCTCTTCCTCGACCCGGTCACTCTTCCAAAGGACTTTAACCATTGGAACTTCTTTACTCCTCAGTTTCTTCACTTTTCTGTCAATAACTCTTACCGGTTGCACGGCATAGTTCAAATCTTCACGTACCTCCACGGGCGGCTTTTCCAACACATGAGAAGGATCATGCACATACTTCTTAAGCATGGACACGTGAAATACATTATGAATCTTCTCCAACTCAGGAGTCAACTGTAGACGATATGCTACGGCCCCAACCTTCTCTATAATTCTGAATGGGCCTATATATCGTGGGTTAAGCTTTCCTCGGGTTTGGAATCGAATGATTCCTTTCCAAGGAGAAACTTTCAGGAATACCTCGTCGTCAACCTTAAACTCTAAGGTCCTTCGACGCTTATCTGCATAACTCTTTTGTCTATCCTGAGCTGCCTTGAGTCTCTCTCGAATCAACTTCACCTTTGACTTGGTGACCTCAACCAACTCAGTACCCTCGAGTTTGGCCATGCCAACCTCATCCCAGCATAACGGTGTACGGCACCTCCTCCCATACAATGCCTCGTATGGAGGCATGCCGATGCTTGCCTGATAACTGTTGTTATAGGCAAACTCCACCAGTGCTAAGTGGTTGTCCCAACTTCCTTGAAACTCCAATGCACAAGCCCTCAGCATGTCTTCTAAGATCTGTATGACTCTTTCAGACTGCCCATCCGTCTGTGGGTGGAAAGCAGTACTGAACTTCAGCCTCGTTCCCATAGACTCCTGAAATTTCGGCCAAAAACGTGATGTGAATCGTGGGTCTCTATCAGATACAATGGTCACTGGGACTCCATGCAGCCTCACGATCTCATCCGTATACAATTTGGCTAATCTCTCAAGTGGGTAGGTAGTGTTGATAGGCAAGAAGTGTGCGCTCTTCGTGAGCCTATCCACAACAACCCAAACTGCATCATAGTTCCGAACTGTCCGGGGTAAGCCTACCACGAAGTCCATTGTCACATGTTCCCACTTCCATTCAGGAATGGAAAGTGGTTGTAACAAGCCTGCTGGATGCTGATGTTCTGCCTTAACTTGTTGACAAGTAAGGCATCGACTGATGTACTCGGCTATCTCCCTCTTCATTCCAGACCACCAGTAACTTTCTTTCAAATCACGGTACATTTTCGTGCCCCCCGGGTGCATGGCATAAGCCGATGAATGAGCCTCCTCTAAGATGGACTTTCGGAGCTCATCATCTGACGGTACACACACTCGGTCACGAAATAATAAGAGACCATCATCTCTTTCCCTGAAATCCTCCACCGGTCCCGCTTGCATGCGTTCCCGGATCTTCATAATCTCCTCGTCAGTTTCCTGACCCTTCTTGATCTCATCAAGTAAAGTAGGTCTCACCTCAAATCGTGCCAATAAGGCACCATCGCTAGATACCTCCAGTTGGGCTCTTAATGCCCTCAAGTTAGCTAGCAATGCCCCAGACGAGCTCTTCCGGCTCAAGGCATCTGCCACCACATTTGCCTTGCCTGGATGATACTCTATCACTAGATGGTAGTCTTTTATCAACTCCATCCACCGTCTCTGCCTCATGTTTAGCTCTTTCTGAGTAAACACGTATTTCAAGCTCTTGTGATCAGTGTATATGTGACATGCCTCCCCGTAGAGATAATGTCTCCATATCTTCAGTGCAAACACCACAGCCCCTAGCTCCAAATCATGAGTAGGATAATTCACCTCATGCTTCTTCAGCTGTCGTGAAGCATAGGCGATTACCCTCCCATTCTGCATCAGCACGCATCCAAGCCCTTGGATGCTCGCATCGCTATAGACATCGTACCCCACACCCTGTTTGGGTAATGCAAGTACCGGTGCCTCGGTCAACCGCTTCTTTAGTTCCATGAACCCCTCCTCACATTTGTCATCCCATACAAACTTAGCTCCTTTACGAGTGAGCTTCGTCAATGGTGATGCCAAAACAGAGAACTTCTCCACGAACTTTCTGTAGTAGCCTGCCAGTCCAAGGAAACTACGAATTTCCTTGACGTTCTTTGGTCTCTCCCATTCGGTAATGGCTTCTATCTTCTTGTTATCAACAGCAATTCCCGATCCTGAAACCACGTGCCCGAGGAAGCCAATCTCCCTTAGCCAAAATTCACATTTAGAAAATTTGGCGTAGAGTTGCTTCTCCCGTAGTGTCTCAAGGACAAGTATCAAGTGCTCTTCATGCTCTTCTTCACTCTTTGAGTAAATCAAAATGTCATCTATGAACACAATCACGAATCGGTCCAAGTATTTATGAAATACTCGGTTCATCAAATCCATGAATGCCGCTGGGGCGTTTGTTAACCCAAACGACATAACAAGGAACTCAAAATGCCCATACCTTGTGCGGAAAGCACTCTTTGGTATGTCATCTTCCTTAATTTTCAATTGATGGTACCCCGACCTCAAGTCAATCTTTGAAAACACGGTTGCTCCTCGTAGTTGATCAAACAAGTCATCAATCCTAGGCAAAGGATACCTATTCTTGATTGTGACCTTGTTCAGTTGACGATAGTCAATGCACATTCGAAGTGTCCCATCTTTCTTTTTCACAAAAAGAACTGGTGCTCCCCACGGGGAGTGGCTTGGTCTAATGAAACCATTATCCAAAAGCTCTTGCAATTGGGTTTTCAACTCGTTAAGTTCAGCGGGTGCCATACGGTATGGCGGTATGGAGATTGGTTTGGTGCCGGGCTCGACCTCGATCACAAATTCAATCTCCCTATCAGGTGGAAGCCCCGGTAGGTCTTTAGGGAAGACATCCGGGTACTTACAAACCACCCTCACGTCGTCAATGTTCGTTTCCTCCTTGGTTTTGTCAATCACGTATGCTAGATATGCGTGACATCCCTTTCTCATCATACTTCTCGCTCTCACGGCGGAAATAATACAACTGTTTGATTTGCCTCGATCCCCCTCGAAGCGTAGGGTGTCCCCATTATTGCCTTCGAGTTCCAAAACCTTTGTGTAGCAATCTACCCTAGCATGATGCTTTTCTAGCCAATCCATCCCTAGGATTGCATCGAACTCCATCATACTCAGCGGTACGAAATCACACGTCAAGGTTTGGCCATCAATTTCCACCTCACAAGATGGATAATAACTAGTTCTTTCAACGTCATCCCCTAGTGGTGTTGATACCACTAATGTGTGCGTCATTGGTGTTGATTGTACCCCTAAGTCCTCGGCGAACGCCTCACTCACGAACGAACGTTGCGCTCCGGTATCGATAAGGATTCGTGCATCCTTCCCATTAATCTTTAATGTTCCTACATTTATACACCATGTAAGATACCTTTTCTAATGGTTTAGGACACCTTTTAGGAGGTTAATAGGTTCATACAAATGTTCGGAATCAAACGGGGGTTCAATCGTAGAAGAACGGGATGAAAAACTCGTGTTTCGGGCGGCTGGGGTCCACGCACGGTCGTGCGTGGGACACGCACGGTCGTGCGTGCGTGAAGAAACATCGAACCCGACCACTGCCGGTTACGCACGATCGTGCGTACCCAGCCACGCACGATCGTGCGCCCACGCACGGCGTGCATACCGGCACGCACGGTCGTGCGTCCTGCGCGAAATTCACCCGGAACCACTGCCCCCTACGCACGATCGTGCGTGGGGTTGGACGCACGATCGTGCGTCCCTGTTTTTGGTCAGTTTTGGCCCGAATTTTGCCGTTTGACCCCGTAATGACTCGCACTCAATCCCTATGACTTATGTCATCAATTTATGGGTTAAATATGGACAAAATACAATTGTGCAAGAGGCAATACCTGCAACCGAGTCCGGGTTAGCTCGAGCATCTGCCTCCGTCATCGCATAAATTCTAGCTTGAGTTCTTCCTTGATTCACAGATGGCGCGTTGCTCGTACTCGCTCCCCCATGTCCCCGGCTCGCTTGAGAAGCTCCGGTTTGATTCCGTGTACCCGTCGGGCCACTGCTCGGTCCCGATGTCCTTGCCCCACCCAATTGTGGGCAATGCGCCTTCAAATGCCCGGCATCCCCACATTGAAAACATCTAGGGGGGTCGCGACATTTACCGGAGTGGTTCCTCTTGCAATTGTTGCAACGAGTTACCACCGAGGTTTGTGACCTCGAGCCTTGCCCACTCGGGCCTTGGTTCCCCCTAGACGGTGGCGGCGGTGCCCGGAAAGATCCTCCTCCATGGTTCCCCTTTTTGTTGGAACCTTGGGAGCCATGACTCTCCCATTTTCTCTTTTTCGCCTCCTCGGCGTCTCTCTTCTTCCTCTCCTCCCACTGTTTCTCCCCCTTCAACGCTTGGTCAACCACTTGGGCGAAGGTCATATTAGGCAATTGTGTTGCCCTATCACGTATCTCCAAGTCAAGAGCATCCCAAAAGTGGTTTACCATTCGGTTCTCGTCACAAGCATACTCCGGTATGTAGTCGGCGAGATCCCGGAACTTGTACTCAAGTTCCTTCACTGTCATGTTACCCCCTTGGGTTAGGAGGGTGTATTCCCTCACCTTCTTGTTCACTTCAAAATCAGAATAATATTGGGCAAAGAACTCCCGTTGGAAGTCCTCCCAAACGACGGTCTCACCGTACTTGCTCTTGGTTCCATCCCACCACTTGGATGCCATCCCCTCGAGCAATCTTACCGCAATTCTCAGTTTGAGATTCGGCGCGATTTGCATGTCAAGGGCTGCTTCGTTTAGCCTCTTGATCCATTGTGCTGCGACTGAAATGTCCCCTGCTCCATCAAAGGGTTTGCACCCCAAATCTCTTGCTTCTTTGATAAATTTGGAGATCCTTATGGTTGGACCTCCATCACTTTGACCTCCATGTGGTTCCACATGGACTCTAGATGCACCATGACTCCCTCCTCTTGAAGCCATGCCCGAAGGTTGCCCCACTCGGCGTCTTCGGCGTTGCCTCCTCTCTTCACGCTCCCGGTGGTATTGTTGGAGTAGTGCTTCGATCCGTGCTAAGGAGCCATTTCCCTCCTCATCACTTACATCGTCATCATCCCCTTCATAAGGGGTCTCAACCGGTTCTGTCTCCGGTTGGTAAGTCGAGTCCTCATAGGACCAGTAGGTCTCACTTTCTGTGTCAACATGACCGTCACTCACGGTCTGTGATCGGCCTCCACGGCCAGCTCCTCTAGATGCCCTAGAGGTCCTTCGACTGCCCTGTCCAGTCTCCACTGGTACACGGCCGGTCGGGTTTCTCCTAGTAATCCTGCCACCACCGTCCATTTCTGAAAGAATTTGGAAAGAGTCGTTAGACTCGTATCAAATGTCAATTGACGGATAGGTACTTAAGACACATTTTGGCTCGAGTCACCGCCATACCAATTGCTAAGGGTACCATCTTAACAATTAGAGACCTTGCAACCCAAGTATCAAAAGCTCTCCAAGTACAAAACTTCTATGCTCATGGTTTTTTCAAAATCTTTCCAAAAAGAGAATTTTGAGACTTCATTATGAAGTTTATGGACTAAGTCTCTGATACCAACTTAATTGTCACGCCCCGGACCTACCCGGACACGTCAACAACCCGCCGTACAATACGAATAGTCAACCGCAGTCCAACACATTCATATTATACAAGGCGTCATGAATATCATTCACACATATAACATCCATAAACAAACATAATAAGTAATTCATAACGCAGCGGAAAACATTGTTTAAAACAAAAGGCCACACCGGGCTATTCATGAGCACGCAGGCTCTATAGTAAAATATCCATGAGCAAATTTATTAATGTTTCAAATAGAATGGAGGAAGCACGAACCAAGTCTTCTCTCCGAGGAATCACTCGATCGACGAGCACAGGATGCAAGCTCTAGCCTCAACCTGAAATGGTGGTGGGACGCCCCCGAAGGGGTCAGTACTCTATACGGCTATAAAGTACTGGTGTGGCAGGCATCTAATAGATATACAACAAGTATTTCAAACACAAGACCCTCAAGTAGGGTGATAGTACATTATGATTGTAACTCTAAGTTACCCCGTTTAAAAATATACTTACTTTATATAAAAGTCAAGTAGTCGGCCCGTGGGCCCGTTTTCATTTGGAAATCACCATTCCCAACCCCGTGGCTTTAAGCCACGACAACTCCTAGAGTCCAACCCTAGTACATGACCTTGTATTCTAGAGCTCGGCTCTACTACATCACCATACAATTCATATACCCCGGGTCAATTTCCTTACCTTGCGTTCTAGAGCTCGGCTCTATTACATCACCACGCAAGTCCTAGAGCTCGGCTCTAGCTATACAATACATAGACTCCAAGTCTACACCTTACATGCATTCTAGAGCTCGGCTCTATTACATCACCATGCATTAAGGTCCAATTCTCAAGCAACCCTATGCCTAGAATTGACATATCATTAAACTACTTTGGGTCATCCTTAAAGACTTCCCATAACTTAACCTTAGTTCCAAACTAAGTTATTATATACACTTGAACTATATTCAAGTACCTTTCATACAATCCAATCCCTAGGATCAATTTAATCAACAAGTTCCAATAATCACTAACTAGTATTTCAATACTATTAAGATTATTGTTATCATACCATTATCCTCATTATTTGTAATTCTCTACATATTTATAATTATGTAGCAGCAACTTAAGTATTCAATCTCAATACACAAATATTCATTTATGTATCCACATAATTCATACATGAGCAAAATGCCCATTTTCACAAAATAGTTCATTTATACTCATTTAATCTCATATTATTCATACCTTCTCAAATCATTTCAAATTTCATTCCTTGGCAACTATATAAATATTTCATCAATATATAATCATCATAATCCATGAAAAATCATGATTTAAGCATTTAGGTAATCTCATGCTTAACCTACAAGTTGTAAGCAATTAGATGTCAATCCTCACCTCAATTGAGCTTTAAACTTTCCCTTCTTGGTCCAATGGTCAAAGCTTTGGTCAAGGTGGATTTGGAACTGATTCCTTGCTCAAATATGAGTGTTAAACAGCCTCCTTAAGTGCTAGTTCAACCCTTAATCGTTGATACGAAAACAGCCCCTAGAACGGGTGTTTTCCGGCTAACTCGATTCCTAGTTTTCCAATATTTGCATCTAGGTTAGTATCTAACCTTTACATCAATAAAATAACTTTATAAGAACATATTATACACTTGGATTAGTGTATAATAGTCTCACCAATCGTTCATATCATTTGGAGAATGAAAAGTAAAGCTTTGGGGTTTAAAACTCACTTTAGAGGATTAGATCCTCTCCTGCGAGGTTGCGTTTTTCTCGGACGATTTGGAAGCCTTCCACAACTCCGATTCCTGCAAACCAGACCTTCACGGATTCCTCGTCTTGAGAGCTTTCTGTGGGTATCTCACACGCCTTAATTGGATTTGTAAAACTCGAGATATCGACCAAACAGTCTCAGCACTCCCACAGCTCGAGTTCACAGACCACTGCTCGTTCCAGATCGATTTTTGGATGATTGCTCTCTCTACTCGAACAAAGGCCACTCAATTATGAAACTACACTTCAAAGGCTATCCAAGGACACCTTATACACCTCATTTGGACGAGTACAACTCTCAAAATGAAGGGAGACAAAACACACCCATGATTTGTGCGGAAATAGACAAGGTGGGTCTCAAGGTTGATTCCAATCAAGTCTTGTGCAGCCCTCCTCCAGCTTGTGCGGCCAAGGTAAGTCTCCTCACTTATTTTTCTTGTTTTGCAGGTACTATAATCATGTGGAGTGGTTCCCAATTGATCCCAATTAATTTGGGGTCCAAATTATCTACCAATACTTCCAAAAATGGGGGAAATGGGTCCTATTGTTTTATCTTTGTCAAAAGATGTCTTTTTGCACTCATCCTAATTTATTTAGAACAAGTCAACTTCCTAAATCACATTATTGATCTCCAATATGTGTAGGATCATCCCAATAATTTACATGATGAAAAATTATAAAAGAATACGGGTTTGAACAATACAATATTCAATCGCGTACTTCGTAAAATATTAATCGTTTCTTCCATTGCTTTGAAATCGAAAATTCAATACATCACTTTTGAATTTTTAAATCGAATTTTCAAGGACGTTCGGGTGCGGTGTCACATCATGCACCACGGTATATCATCTTGAATTGACTTTGTAAGTTCATCCATGACTATGGCGAATAAAAAAGGGCTCAGAGCCGATCCTTGGTGCACTCCGATAGTAATAGGGAACTCCGCAGTCCTCCCTACACTAGTACGGACACTTGTAGTACAATCCTCATACATATCCATGATGATGCTGATATACTTGCGTGAAATGCCTTTTCTAGTTAAGGCCCACCAAAGAACTTCTCAAGGTACCGTATCATATGCCTTTTCTAAGTTAATGAACACTAAATGCAAATCCTTGTGAGCGTCTCTATACTTCTCCATAAGTTGCCGAAGAAGGTGAATAGCCTCAGTTGTTGAGCGACCAGGCATAAAACCGAATTGATTCTCTGAAATCTTCACCGTTCTACGAAGTCTTTGCTCAATCACTCGCTCCCAAAGTTTCATGGTATGACTCATAAGCTTAATCCCTCGATAGTTGGCACATTCTTGTACATCACCTTTATTCTTAAATAAGGGAATAAGAGTACTCTTTCTCCAACTCGTTGGCATCTTGTTGTTTCTCCAAATCTTGTTGAAGAAATTTGTTAACCACTCGATGCCTCTCTCTCCCAAACTTCTCCAAGCCTCGATCGGTATGCCATCAGGACCCGCCGCTTTCTTCTGCCCCATCTTCCTCAGAGCCTCTTTAACTTCTGTTGGTTGGATCCTTCTCACAAAATCACGATTTACCATACAATCTGGTATGGTCAAATCACCGATATCTTGAACTTTGTTCTCATTGAACAATGTATCAAAGTATGACCTCCACCTCTCTTTTATCTCTCTGTCCTCCATTAATATCCTTTGATCGACATCCTTCACACACTTAACTTTTCCGATATCTTGAGTCCTACGATCACGAAGACGAGCAAGTCTATAGATATCTTGTTCTTCTTCCTTAGAGTCCAATTTTTCATACAACTCCTTGTTCACTTTCCCTTGTGCTTCCTTTACGGCTTTCTTTGCTTGTCTTCTAGCCTCCTTGTATGCTTCTATGTTATGATCACTCCGACTTGTCCCCATCTTTTTGTAGCAATCAGAGGCGTCTTTAGACCTCTGGAGGCCCTAGACGGAAAAACACCTAAAACCCGTTTGGTAACACTGAAATCGGCTCATTCTGCTGAAATTTATAAAGTTCTAACTGAATTGGTTGTATTGACTAAGTCTGTCGATTTATGAAAAAATTATATTTAAAATATATTTTATTAAGGAATTACAGAAAAAATAATATGAAAAATAGCTAAAATGATCATCTACAATAAACTCAACCAATACACCAGAAAAATAATTTCAAACTACTCCCATCAAATTTATTACGAATAAACATTACTTCAATAATACATTACTGTGATGGCTGCTAGCTATCATGTGTGGTCAACCGTAACCCAATAAGCTACTCCATATTATCCTTAAGCCTACTTTTTACAGAATGTCAGAATTCTAACTTATCCACCTCAAGACTAAATCTGCAGGCCAGACATACAACCGTTGGAGAAAATTGAAGATTGGGAGTCTGGTTGCTTTCAAACTATTAAAATTAAAATAGATATTTTGTATACCTACTATACTTCGTATTAATTTTTTTCTGAGGCCCCATTGAGGTGTGAGGCCCAAGGCAAGTGCCTGGCCTTACTCCCCTCAAAGCCGCCCCTGGTAGCAATCTCTTTTGTTCCTTATGGCTTGTTTCACCTCATCATTCCACCACGACGTGTCCTTTTTGGGTGGCAGACATCCTTTAGATTCTCCAAGTACCTCATTTGCCACTTTGTTAATGGTCAGCTCCATCGATAACCACGCATCCTCCACATGTGTTCCATTATCAATACGCCATACATCTTCACCGAACATTTTGTGTGTAAAGCTTTGTTGAAGATCCCCCTCAAGCCTCCACCACTTTATCTTTGGCTCAACTTGTTGCTTAACTTGTCTTCTATGGTTCTTACCTCGAAAGTCAAGCACAAGCATCCTATGCTGAGTGACAACACTCTCACCTGGGATAACCTTACAATCGGTGTAACTAGTTCTCCAAGTAGTCTGTACTAAGAAGTAGTCAATTTGGGTACTATTAGCTCCACTTCTATAGGTTACAAGGTGAGAGTCTCTTTTCCTAAACCAAGTGTTCATTATAGCCAACTCATACGTCGAGGCAAAATCCAAAATGTTCTTTCCTGCTTCGTTTCTAGTGCCAAAACCATGTCCGCCATGAATACTCTCAAAGCCATCACGACTCGAGCCCACATGCCCGTTGAGGTCGCCTCCTATGACCAACTTCTCTCCCCTTGGCACTCGCCGTACCACATCTTCAAGATCTTCCCAGAACTATTGAGTTGTAGATGCATCCAATCCCACTTATGGTGCATAGGCACTTACCACAGACACAATATCACCCCTCATCACCAATTTAATGCTCATGATGCGATCGTTCTTCCTGAAGACTTCTACCACACCCTCAACATAGTCACACGCCACAATAATGCCTACCCCATTCCTGGTCTTATCTCTCCCCGAATACCACAACTTAAAACCTCCGGGATTAATCTCACGTGCTTTCTCTCCAACCCATTTAGTTTCTTGCACACACATAATGTCGATATTCCTCCTCCTCATAACTTCGACTACCTCGGAAGATCTGCCTGTAAGAGACCCAACATTCCACGTTCCAAAGCGCAATCTAGCACTCCACCTTCTGTTCTTAGCCCCGCCTCGGACCCCACCATGCCCTTGCATATTTGACATCATCCTCAGGCAATGGGATGACGCGCCGCTTCCGGGCGACGACCTAGCAACCTTAGCATTCTTATCACCACACCCAGGCCTATGAAGTGTAGCGCACCCTTGCATATTTGACACCACCCCCAGGCGGAAGGATGACGCGTCGCTTACGGGCGACGACCTAGCTGTAGCAATATTCATATTTCGATTCATGTCATGTGATGTGACTAGGTGATACTGTTGGCCGTCACGCGCCTACCACAACACCCTCCTCCTTTATCCTGGCTTGGGACAGGCATGAAACAAAAAAAAATGATCTCATGGCGGAAAAATATCTAAGTGACAAAAACGTTGATAAGATGTGTTAAGAAAGGTGTGGATACAAAAGTCCATTTCATTTTTCACTTTCAATTGATGGTGAACTTCTTTTTAGAAACAAAATCATCTAGGTGACATTCTGTTCAGAAGACATAAAACTATATCGGTTTGAAACTTTGACCCACTCAAATGGTCTAGCACCAGAACCATATATGGGCACAACAGAGAATGCCTCACTTTGATACTATATGTAGGAGCATAAAATAGAAACACATACAATCATATAGAAGGGTTGGGAAATGAGGGGGGCAATACAAAGTGTGATGTGATCCGACTCATGCCCCAGTCAATATTTTTTTAACTAAGCTATAGTAAAAGGAGAAAGTGTAATGTAATGTGCACAGAAAAAATGGTCTTTAACATCATAACAAAAACACTTGAGAAGCAATAAAGAGATTAAAAATGTATTTTTTTATAGAGTTTTTTTGACATATATATTATTAATACGGAGTATTAATGTATAGGACGAAAAAGTGACTAACCCTAAAACCCATATAAATATGGAAAAAGAATAAAATTAAAAAGTCATAGGTACCCTTGTAGTTATCAAGCTCGCAGTCGCAGAGTCAGGCCTAATTTCACGGGAATTGGAATGAAACATCTTTAGGGAGAGAAAATTAACCATACAATGGTTTCATAACATACTACTCCGTGATTAAGACGTCTGGTAGGCGAAATGGGGGCCTTGATTTCAGATGTCAATTCACGCTACAATGGATGAGGAAGGATTTTAAAGGTTGAGATCGAATATGTTTTGGAGTTTGTATATTTGTGTGATATAAACAAATTCGTGATGTAGATGAATAAGATCAGGAACGGATCCAGGATTTTGAGTTAAGGGGGCGAAAAAATATTTGTATCAATTCTAAAATATTTGAAGTTTATTATCTATACAATAAATTGTGTAATTTAATGTCAATAAACATATATGTTTTAGATTCACTTATTCGATCTAAAAACTTTGTAACTAATGCGTCTTGTATTGACTATTGTTTCACACATATATTTTACAAAATCGAGTACTAATTATCTAATAAAGATAATTAAACATGAAAAAACTGAGAATTTTTATATAATAAGTATCCTAAGTATTAAACAATGAGTGGTTCAATCGTTTATTTATTTAAGTTATGTAAATTATGTAAGATGTTTCTTCTTTTAAATCTCTAATTAATTATTACATTATGTAAGACTATTATTAATTTTGATAACTAAAAGTTAATGGGGGGTGAATCTAATTAAAGTGTAAAAATTTTATGAAAATATGACATATATATAGTAGACAAATTTGAAA